AGTTTGGATATGACACAGTCCTTGCCCTCAAATGGTTCACAATCTGGTGGTGTGATTCTCAGAGGCAGTGGAATCTTCTAGCACTTGGAAAGATATTTTAAATCCCTGGATCCTCCATGTGAGTCACTGGGGCTCAGAGATCTGTGATCTATTCCTGTCAAATAAGTGGGCTCAGAAAAAAGCTTAAGAAGTGCTAGCCTAGAGGGAGGGATAGACACTCTAACACATGTCATGGCGAGTGTTACAAGGGATGCCAATTGCATGTTGCACAAAAAAAAAAAAAGCACAAGGAAGGAACAAATTACCTGGGGAAAATGGTTTCTAAAGGATTCCAAGAAGATTCATATCTGTCCTGGGTCTTTAAAGAAGGAATGTAACTGGCCCAAGGCATTCCAAGCACAGGTAAAAGCATGTGAAAGTTATTGGGGGAAAGAACAGGACCCTCTGGAAGAAGACCAAGCAATTTGGAGTGGCCAGAACTGGGGGCGCTGAGGCTGTGTAGAGGGAAATGACTAATTGGAAATGACAATGAAAGCATGTTCCAGGGTTAGATCAGGGGAGGACTTTCCCATCAAGTTAAGTAGTTCCCATCTGTCTTCTAGAGAAATGACCAGCAGAGGCAGGAGTATGGATGCATCCTCACAGAAAAATTGAAAGCAGGGAGTGATAGTATGAGACACAGGTTTTGTCTTTACTTTAAGACACAGAGAAAGTTATTCAACATTTAGCTTAGACATATAGTAAACTAATTACATATACTTATGTGGTCCTTCTTTTGACCACTATCCCTCTGAGCCTGGGATTGGTCTAAGACACCATTAGTTCAGGTTCTCATTTTTGCCCTTTCTGCTTCAGGGCAGCCTGCTTCTCTCCTGACTGCCCATTTCTGAGCCCATGGTTAGGTTCTCTGGGCCAGTGAGAGAAAAGTCTGGTAACTGTATGGAGGTGGGATAGGAATAGAGTCAGAGGAGCTAACAGGACAGTCTAGAAAAGAGTGACTAGGGACTGTAAAGTTGGAGGGCACTGATCCCATTTGTCTCAGAGGATCCCAAAGAAGGAAACCAGGATGCACTGATGCAATCTGATAGTCTCAGCTGCTAAAGATGCAAGAGAGCACCTTGATTTGTTACTGTAGCTCTTTAGACAAACTAGAGGCCCATTTGGCAGTGAGAGGATTTAAAAGGTTTGTTAGTCATCTATTTTGGCATAAATTACCCCAAAATGTAGTGGTTTAAAACAACAAACATTTACTATCTCAGTTTCTGTGGGTGAGGAATTCAGGAGTGGCTTTGTTAGGGGATTCTTGCTCAGAGACTTACACTCTCCCTCATGAGATTCAGTCAAGAAATCTGCAAGGCTACTGCAGTCATCCAAAAGTTCATTCAGAGCTGAGGCTATTTGCAAGAAGTCCCAGTGTCTTGCTGGCTATTGGAAGGAGGTCAGAGTTCTTTGCCATGTGGACCTCTCCACAGTGCTGCCTGTCTATACATGGCAGTTGGTCTTTCTGAGAGTGAGAAAGCAAGAAGGATGTCACAATGCCTTTTTTGATCTAGCCTCAGAAGTCACACACTATCACACTGCCATATTCTTATGCCTTCTAAGAGAGTCTCAGGGAGAGGAATTAAGCTCTATCTCTTGTAAACAATTTATGGATAAAGCACATGTAACAAGGTCACACAAGAGGATTCTGAATATTCCTTCATACCTGAGATTTACCAATTCTATCAGTAAACAGAGGACAAACCTTGAAAGCGTCCTGTATTTGAGTCCTCCCACCCTTGAAGTGGCCCACTGGGGCTCTTGTAATTGATATATTTGTCAAGAGGAGAGGTTCAGTAGTGGATTTCTGGAAACTCCACCAAGTGACAATGGGGTTTGACTGAAACTACTCTTGTGGTGTTATGGAAACACTACTTATGATTTTCAAAAAAGAGAGTGGACACAGAAAAAGCTTAAGTTAGACACTGTTTTAATTATACTATTCTTTGGGGACGAAAATGATTGATCAATATATAGTAATCCAGTTCTTGGTTTTTGTTTTTTTTTCATTTTGGGAATTGTTTTATTTGGAATGTACATAAGAAAGACTTCTGAGCTCTCCTGGTTACTAGATATTACTTAGCATTACAGAGCCATGAGTTTATGAAGTTAAACTCTCATGAGGGTTTTATAAGGCAATATGAGAAGTCATGGTCCAAACATAAAGCAAATTAAGTTGTGGTCTGCTTTGGAGCAACTGACAGGGTATAGCATGGGAGAATCCACTTGACCTTGACATTTGAAATATTCTCCTTTTACAGCAGAAGTTTATGACAGACATGAGTCCAATCTTCCACTACTGGGATCTGCAGTGAGTAATACTTATACAGTCTTGGTACTGCCAATGCTGGTTACTAACTGTCACTGTTCAGAACCTCTAATCAAAGTGTAGCAGACAAGTTAGCTATAGGACAGAATGTGGATGTTAATCATGATGACAGTATTGCTAGAGATTGAGGTGAGGGTTGGGAGTAAAGAAGAAAGAAGAAAGAACACATGAATTTTCCTGAACTTACATAGTCAAAGGGGTGAGGTATGGTTGATAGAGACTGTATAAAGTTGAGGAATCAAGAAATAAATTAAGAAATAGTATGTTACAGTCGCAATAAAATTAAAATGTATGATTTCAAGTTAGAGTAGAAGGCTAACAAAGTCAGGAGGAAAAGGGAGTGGAAAGTGATGTGAACTACATTCTTAATTTTTTTTTTCCCCTACTGACCAATCAAGAAATAGAAGCATGAACATATTCTATAGAGTGAAGGTGTTTCCAACAAGAATAATTAGAACCAGAGACTGGTGGCTCTGGGACTGAGGTGACCATGGTGACTTTCACATCTCCTTTCCTATGCTTCTGTACATACATTACTCTTTTGAACAAATGTAAAAATCCATGTAGTTGGTATCATCTATAAGTTGATACTAGCCTATGTTCACCAGGTTTTAGAAGATAAACTTCACAAACATTAATTCCTCTAGTTAGGTTTAACAAATGACAAGATTTTACTTATTTTAGAAATTCACACTTTACATTTCATTCTTCTTTTTGAAACAGAGAGTAGGAATTAGTTTACAAATTACTACCTTGGTGATAAAAACTATTTAAGATGAGCAAAAATTCTATGATTTATCCTTAAATATGCACTTCTATATTACACCACCAAAAATGAAACAACAACCAAAAAACCTTATAATTTTCAGGATTAACTCTAATGGGCAAGAGTCCAGGCTCAGTAAAGAACTGATACTCCAACCTAGAACAGTCTATGAAGCAGTTTTAATAACTACCCCCCTCCGGCCCCCAGTACTAAGGGTTATTCTGAGTTTTTATGGAAGGCCCAGGTACATCCTCCTACAAACTCCCTTCTATCCAACCATGGAAGATTTCTTCAAAGGAGTCAACAATGAAGATACCAAAGAAGCAAATGGCTAATTTGCCTTGATTTAATAAAAGACAGCTATTTAAAACTACATTTCCTGGGAGCAACCTGGTACCAAGTATACTAGGTGGAAAGAGGAAAGAAAAAAAAAAAAAAAGATGAGGTTAGTAGTCAGAATCCAAAGGGCATTTTTTTTCCCCTTTGAGGAATTAGGGGGAAAATTTTATGAAAGCTCTTTCAGCTTCTATAGAAAAAATACTTTTGTACACTCATAAGAAATGCTTGGTTTTCTAATTTACAGACTCACTTGTACTACAGCAATTCACAACAATCATACAATACAGATCAGGCACCACCCACACCTTCTGTAAGAAAATTTATAGAAAGGGTTGAACTACCACAGTTCCTGTGGATGATCTACAACACTTATATTAAAAAAAAAATACTTAGGGAAGAATGGATAAATACAAAGTGGTATAACTGTATAATGGAATACCACACAGCAATGAAAATGAACAAACTACTGCCACATGTAACATGCACATCAGATACATGTAGTACATATTCTACGATTCCATTTATTTAAAATATAAACCCCAGTGAAACTAATCATGGTGTTAGAAGTCAGCATAGTGGTTCACTTTGGTGAGGTAAAGAATGGGGGTGGGTTACCAGGGGATTTGGGGGTTGTGGTAAAGTTCTACTTTTTATCTGCTTGCATGAGTGGGTTCAGTTTATAATAATTTATCGAGCAGTTGCAGTTATAATTTGTGTACTTTCCTGAATGTATATATAATTATTTAAAAAGTCAATTAAAAAATAACATATAAGGCCCCCTCCTAGCTTATGCAGTACCTTTATGCAGATTTTTAAAAAATGTCCCCTCTGGATGAATGGATTAGAAAAAGGCATCCCTGTGGGCAGAGGGAGTCCCACAGGTTTGTGGAGGACTGGCTGATTTTTAACCCCAGTGGTACACTTGGCTAGACACAAAACCGCACATCTGGATGGACATCTGCAAATCTGCAAAACACTCACTTGACCTTTCTTCACCACAGCTTTATGAGGAGGGCAGGGCAGATGTCCTTATTTTACAAAAGAGGAAGTGGCACAGAACAGTAAGACCGATGCACAAAGGCGTCATAGCTAATAAGCAATGGAGCCAGAACAGACTCCTAGGCCAGTAGCTCTTCACATGGTTCTGATTCTGTTTTGGGAGGGGGAATAGGAAGAAGCTTCTTTCTATTGTTTGTTACTGTGTATGTTGTTATGGGTCATCTCCATGCTTTGTGGAATTAGGCAGGGAACAAATACATGGTCCAATGTTCTTAATATTGGGCTTTAGTAAAGGTCCTAGATTCTAAGCCCATTTGAAAAATATGCTTTAGGCATACACTTAAAAATGAATATTCATCTTTTACATGTTTACTTATGCAAAAAGATCATTAGAATAGATATGTGTAGATACCAATAGAGCATTCTGGCCTTCCCATAGCTTAACATTATTAACTTACGGACATAAACCTTTCCGCGTCTTGAAAAAAAATGAAAAAGACACACACCTAAGGTATATGTCCAGCTTACCTAGAAGCGTCTGCTTATCTTGGGAGGAATCAGACTCTGCAGGACACCTGCAAGTTCGGAGAACAATCACTCCTCCAAGCACACCATCTTCACTGGCCAGGAAAGGTGAACCTAGGCAGGAAAGGCAAATGATCATTTTTCAGTGAATTTTCCTTTCCTCATTTTCAATTTTCATTTGATTATAAGAACAAAAATGTGGTATGAATAAGATCTTGAAAGATGCCCATTTTCTGACAACCACCGTTGTTCATGCCTTGTATAGGCTTGATGGTAAACACAGGCCTATGCCCAAACAGGGGCCATTTGGCAAAGACAATCCCAGATGCTGCCAAGAAGACTTGAGTGGGGGTGGAGTGTGCATTACAGTATTCAGAATGGAATTGGAAACACTACCAGATTAAAGAAGAAAAACACAAATACAGGAAAAAATGCTCAGCAAGTCTCTTTGATCAGCTCTTAGGGATCACTTACCAGGCTCTCCCTGCTGTCAGGGGCATGCCACCAAAAGCTTTGATTTACTACCTTAAATTCAATTTTAAACAATAAGCCACAAACTTTATTACAACATTTAGAAATGATCCTGATGGTTTACACAAATAAGGGTGAAACTGTATTTCTATTATAAGAGTCTGGTGGTTAGAAACAACCAGGCCTCTTTGGGATCTCACACACTGAACCACCGTGAGCATTTCAAGAACACTACATTTTAAAACCCCTCATTTTTCCTCCCCAAGGACATCTTCTTCAAACATCTGGCATCGCAAGTAAGCACGTGGAGAACAAATGCAAATTAACCCAAGCACTATCAAAGAAAGTAATAAAAATAAAAACCAACCAAATTGGATTTGGGGAAGCTTCTGGTTAAACTTAGTTGATTAAACACATATATTTATCTCCACTCCTTCCAAAGGCATGGCCCAATGAGGACAGAGAGAAAGGCAAACAAGAAAAAAACTGACCTTTTAGAAAATGAAAAGAAGATGGACATTAGTTGGCTCATGTAGTGGGCCTGCAGAAATTTCAAAGAAGCTGAAACCTAAGCTTTCATGGCAGGACAGGGCTGAAATTGGGGGTGGGGCACCTATAAGAAATCACCCAGTTTTGTCATGAAACCCAAAAAGAATTAGAAATTGGAAGCCTCCAGTTCCTCTGAAGGCAGGGATATGGGGTGAGGCTGAAATGAAGATGGCTGGTTTAGAGTGTCCAAAAGGACCCTCTACACCAGGTGTCAGTAAGCTATGACTTGTCTGGTCTACAACCTGTTTTTGTACTGTCTACAGGAGATGAGTGTTTATTTTACAATTTAAAGGGTTATTTAAAAAAAAGAAAAAGGAACGAGGGGCAGCTGGGTGGCTCAGTTTGATAAGACACCCTTATCAGGGTGTCTTCGGCTCAGGTCATGATCCCAGGGTCCTGGGATCGAGTCCCGCATCAGGTTCCCTGCTTGGTGGGAAGCCTGCTTCTCCCTCTCCCACACCCCTGCCTGTGTTCCCCCTCTCTCTCTGTCTCTGTCAAATAACTAAATAAAATCTTAAAAAAAAAAAAGGACGAGAAGGAGAAGAATATGTGATAGAGACCATGATGTAGCCTAAAAAGTCTAAAATCTTTACTTTCTGGCCCTTTCAGAAATAGTTTGCCAACCCCTGATTTAAAGCCTAGATTCCTGCATAGAGAGGAAGTCACTTCTTCCTAACCCAGGAGATGCCAGGATATTTACTCTTTAGAGACGATGAACCAGAGGAACTTGAGTCTTGGGGGCATCAGACTCAGCATAGGGCAGGAGGGAGGCTCCACAGTAAATACAGGATGTGGAAGTGGAAGTCTTCATGCTAAACAGTGAAATAACCAGCTCCTTTACCCAGAGGCTCCCAGGATACAAGAAGTCAGGCTGATATCCTCTAAACAAAAGACTGGATAATTCCCTTCCAGCCACACAACCAGCTCAAGAATAAAGACCTACCTGAGAGACCCTAAAAAAATTTGCCTTATGGTAAGGGCTTCCAGATGACAAGTATGACTCACTCAGAAGGTTTTCACAGTTTAGTTTTTTGGTATTTAACTGTTAAAAAGTATAGACTACTAGGATCACTAGTTGTTTCAGTTAGCCCTCTAGAAAAGACAGAGATCAAAACTAAAAAGCAACACAGAGAAAACTTAGGCAAATGCATTGAGCAAAAGAAAAGAAAAAAAAAGAGAGAGAGAGAGAAATCAGAAGAACAGGTCAGAAGGTCCAATATCTGAATAATAGGAGTTCCAAAAAAAGAGCATAGAGGAAATGAAATTTCAAAGAAAGAATTCAAAAACACTTCCAAGAATTGAAAGGTAAGTGCTTGGACTAAAAAGACTCATCAACCTCCCAGAAAAACTCATGGAAAAAAAAGTGCCATGGAGGTATATCACTGTGAAATATCAAAATATTGAAGAAAAAGAGAAAAGTCTAAAAACTTCCAAGTGGGGGAAAAAAAGTCATATGGAAAGCAAGGGTATCATAACAGCATCAAAATTCTCAACATAACACTGGTAACAAATGCTAAAGGAAAATTATTTCCAACCTAGAATTCTATACTAGGCCAAAATGTCAGTCAAGTGTGAAAACAGAATAAAGCTCTACAAAGTCTCAAAGAATTCACCTCCCACGTACTTTCTCAGAAAGCTGTAGGATAAACGTGCCTTGGCAAAGTGAAGGAATAGGGTACATAATGAGAAAGAAAATAAGATCTGGAAACAGGGGATCCAAAACAAGAGAACAGAAAAAGATTCCCAGATGGCATGCAGCTATGCAGTAGGCTTAGAAAGTGGACAGTCCAAATTGAAACAGGAAGCCAGAGGAGGCTGGAAAGATATTTCCAAAGGGAAAATAAATCAAACTTACAGAATATATGTTGGCTTTGAAATTATTAAGAGGAAATGTTTCAGATTTTGAGGGAAGTTTGACAATCAATAGTGACTGGTATAAAAAAAAAAAAAAAACAAAAAGAAACCTAAACAATAATGAGGCAAATATTAACTGCAGAAAAAAAATAATAATTTGTGTAAGAAAGGAAATAGAATCACAGTACACTATGTAGTGCAGATGTCAATAGCTGGAGTCAAAAATATAAACTCACAATACTGATGAACTAAAAAAAGGGAGGGGGACATAATACATTAGGAGGAGGAATGGTACATGTAGTATGTGTAGGTTTGGGGTTGGAAATATAAGGGAATTAAATCTTGGCCTTTCCTGGTATGAATATGAAGATATCTCATTTTGATATATAAACAATATCTAAAATTGAAAACTGAAGGAATAGTAGTACAAGTGTGTTATGTTGAATTACAGATTTAACTTCTAAATGAAATAGCTATGAGAGTTAAAAGTAGTAGCCTCAGGGGAGAGGAAGCTGGGGGAGAGGAGACTGGATTGGAACAGGGAACCATTCATTTTCATTTTAAGTCTGGGGGTATTGTCTTTTTAAACCACTTACTTGTTTTGCCTTGCAAAGAAAAAACACAAATTTAAACTGTGGAACTGGACTAAATATTTTAATCCTCAGCCTCTTAAAGAAGGGGTAAGGAGACAGGAAATTCACAGTCATTGAGAAACTACCCTGCATCAGGGCTTGGATCCACACTTGCATTTTCTACAGTTTGATTTTCAGAACCACTGAAGGGGGTCAGAGCAAATCTCCCCAAAATGTGTCATTCTGGCATGTGGACTATTTTGAGCTGAAGGCAATCGAGACCCTGAGGGCTCAAGAGAAACTTTTGCCTCACCCTTAACTACCTAGAAGAATCTAAATTGGGGGTCTTTCCTAGATTTAGAGTTATCACTAGGAATAAATTTTATCTGAGTAATCCATCTGTATGGCAGGGCAAATATCTAATTACCAAACATCTCTTCTTCTTATTGCCTATGAATTGCCCTCCTCCCCTTTGAAGCCCCAGGCCCCTATCCCATTCCTTAGCTCAGCATGACATAAATAACTCATTGTACCTTTCTGTCTTTGAACCTCTCATGTATAAGGAGTTCCTGTATGTATGAAATTAAATTTGACTTTCTCCTGTAAATCAGTCTCATGTCAATTTAATCTTTCAACCAGGTGGAAGAATCTTTGAAGGAGAGGGAAAAATTTTCCTCCCCAACACTACTGTGCCATGAGGTGTTTTCACATTATAGATGAAGAAACTAAGGTTCAGAGAGTTGAGCAGAGTATGTGGTTTTCCCTCATGATTCTCTGAGCCCACAGTCCTTGTTTGCTTTGCAGCAATGCCTGTCAGGGAATGGGAAACTTTGGATAAGCTCACATTCCAACTGCTGTTAGAAACCTCCACCCCACCAGCACTCAAACCCTTGATACCTCTAGAACAGTTCCTTTCCCTACCAAATCCAGGAATTTCTCTAAGTTCCTAATAGCTCATCCAAGCTCAAAACTCTCTATCTCTTCCCTCCTCAATGACTCAAAACATGAAACCATGTTAAATCCCAACAAGTGTGTACTGTACTTGTGCTAGTTTCTGTCCCTTCATTTCCACTGACAAGACCCTCAATGTACTCTCATTGTACTGAAAACAGTGTAGTAGGCTCGTGCTCCAGTCATTCAAATCTCTAAATAATTAATTAATATGTACTATGTGTCAAGACTCTTCTAGGCACTGGGGATATAGCAATGAAAAAAAAGAAGTCCTTGCTCACATCTAGTTGAACAGATTAGGGGACAAGTAAATTTACAAGTCAATGAAGAAATTCATCCAGTTATTGATAAGCACTATGAAGAAAATGAATCCCAGTAAATAATAGAAGGTGTGACTTGAGCAGGGGCTACTTCACATCAAGGGTCAGGAAAAGCCCCTTTTGTTAAGGAGCTAACCATGTGAAGACCTGAGGGAAGAACATTCCAGGCAGATGAACAAGCAAATGCAGAGACGTTAAGGTGAGAAGGAACCTGGATGTTCAGGAAATACAAGGAGACTAGAGTGGTAAGAGCTGAGTGAGGGAGAGGGAAGAGAGGACAGAACATAAATTCAAAGAGAGGCAGGGCCAGGTCACATAGGGTTACAAAAGGCCTTGTGGGTACAGCAAGGAGGCTGGATTTTACTGCAAGTGTGATGAAAAGATGATCTTTAATCTT